GTTTATGGAGGATATACGTTATAGTGAACCTCAGAAGGTGGTTGTGTGGATTTTCAGATAATTCCATTAAAAAATTTAGCTACAATCATCAAAATACCGAATATCGTAGGTACCGTTATATGGGGGCTGTATAATGCCGTGGACCGATATAGCCCATCTTCGAACTTCAAACCTGCAGACAAAAGACTGATCTGCGCAAAATGTTAGCTTCCTGTCTTAATTAATTTTGGCTCTAGCGTGATTACAACAGACGGACAGACAGAGCTAAATCGTCTTAGAATACTACGCTGATCAAGAATATATTTAATTTTTAGGTCTAAAATTATTATTTCGATGAGTTACAAACGGAATGATGAAATTAATATACCCTGGAGAGTATAAAAATTGGAAAATTGACAGACATATTAATTTAAACCGAATTCCTTTTTCCGAATGGGATGATTTTCAAATTTCCCAAAAATGGATTTAAATATTTTCCATTCAAAATTATTATTTTTGTATTTTCTTTGCCAAATACCAGACTAATAATTAATTAATTTATACTTCTCGTTATGACGTCATTAATTGTTCCCTCTCACTCGTATTAAACATTTCTGTCCCCTTTGTTGGTTACTTTCATTTGTTTGTTTGTGTATGTGCTTTGACGAATGGACGTGGTTGTCGTGGATAGTACATATATTGTAGAACATCCAGAATTGGAATTCTCGATACCTTCATGTATTGATGAGGAGCTATAAATACGAGTGAGTAGAAGCTCAGGCCTAACAGTCCAAATTCTAACTAGAAGTCGGATGAAACTTTCGTTTTCGAATGCGTATTCCGTCCGTCTTCTGACCGAAACTTACATGGAGCCGGACCGAACTCGCAATAGGTATTAGAATACATTAAAATTCTAAGAATTAAAAATGGCGAAGATATTTTCAGTTCTTTCATGGTTTTCCGGTTTTTAAAAAATTACATAAATTTTTTATGTCGAAAAAATGCGATTGAAGTGAATTACTTTTTAGAGTATTAACCAATTTTAGAAATATTTCGAAAAAATGCGATTGAAGTGAATTACTTTTTAGAGTATTAACCAATTTTAAAAATATTTCACCCAATGCTTCTTTAACTATTACGAAACCTTAAGAGAGAATCAGGATGGGAAAAGTCTTAGGCGCACCATGCTCTTGTAAAAATCTAGACTTCTTTCACCCAAAATGAACTCATGATATTGAACTCCTCTTTCGGCATTAAATTCGAATACCCGGGAACCCTTTCATTTCCCATAATTATTACACCACATTTGTTTGAGGTAATCGTAATTTTTCCATCTCCACTGATGGTAGTTGTTATAGCAATGGCGGGGAAAAAAAACTAATTCCCATTTCTTTTATCAATAAACACGCTGGTTAGCACGAGCTTCGGTTGTTTGAAAAAGAAAGCATAGATATTACTATTTAGCTTTTATTCCTCTTTGATGCTATTTTTATTTCTGTTTGTTTTCATCATATGGTACGACTTTACTGCCACAGATGGTCTAACACCAATACACGTTCTTCTATATACGAACTTACCTACCAAGCTTTTGCTCAAATATCTATCTATGATATTTGTTTATTATTTGTCGCATTGTTGTTGCTGTTGCTATTCTTTACACGATATGCAAGACAAGGTCTCGGTCAATGTGATCGGCTCTCACACGTTGGTGGTTATAATTTTCATTGGTTCCTCATCGTTGGTACTACCTACCAGCCGACACATTATTTTCCATTGGTTAGCAATTTTCATTTTAAAGAAAGCGAACTCTCGCTCATTCGCACTCTCACTCTTCGTTTCGATTGCTCAATTGCTTCTCCACACACTTCATCGAATTTTGTTTTGCTTATGAAAACTTGGTATGTTATTGCGAAAATAAATTTTTGCTCATTTCCCTTTAAAAATGTTTTCAAATTAACCAAATAACATCGTAAGCGTCTAGCATGTGCAGTCTGTCATTACTTTCGTTATTGTTGTTTTTTTTTCCTAATTTTTGTTTAATAACTTATGTAATAACAATTTCGTTTTCTAGTTAGCAGCTGATTAGAATTTTCATGGTCAATTTCTTTTGTTGTGTCGTCAATGCACTTCCCCACCCCTACCGACTATGTTCCTTATATACCATAGACGAGATAAGCGTGCTGTTGGTATGTCGAACAGTTTTGTTGACATTTATCGTTTTCCAGGGAGTATTTGATGATACATTTAGTTAATACAATCTTTTTCCGTGAATTATTTAATTCTGAATTGTTGTTTTTTTTTTCTTTTTGTCATTTTTTAATAATAGCAATGATTTGAAATTGGTTGATGAAAATTATTGAACTTTGGTTCTTGTATTTACAAACCAAATACTTGATAGTGTAAATGGGGTGTATTTGCTATATGGAAGTCAATGGGAGAGCTATATGTGACATATATAACTGAAACATATATGTACATAGTTGTTAAATCTATTAGATCTGAACCGATTTCGTCGAAACCTGACTGACTTTGGTACCGTTTTGGGAGGTTTGAAATATTGAATCAGACGTCACATACATGCAGGCGCAAGTTATAGGGAACAACTTTAGCTTAATAATAACTCTCATATTTTGAAAGTTTTTCTCAAAAGGTAAGTATTTGTACCCTATGGGAACGGACCCGGGTTTCCAGATACGTAATGCGAAAATCCGGCATCTATTAAACCAATATAGACAATTGCTTGGGATTTTGTCCTCTGGATATGTCAAAAACTGGCTACGCATACCATAATAGAAATATAATACCGACCACGAGCTACTCCAAGATCCTAACGGTCACATTCGACAGCATGTTCAAGTCGTCTCCGCAAGCCACAACTATCTGCGACAAGATGAAAAGTAAAAGTTCCTTAAGCCGCTAGCCGACAGCACTTATTCGGGCGGACAAGGATATATTTTTGACCTCTGTAGTCAGCTATGCAACTTCAGTGTGATATGCTACGCAGTGGAAGAATATCCAGACCCGCCAGAATACTGCCCTGAGATCTACCATTTACGTGAGGAAGCGAAGGTCCTTCAATTATACCGTGAATGCTGTTCTCGGAGTCCACCCCTATCCATTGCAGCTAAAGAACGTCGGCTGCTAGACAAACCAGGGTAAATTGCGTTCAGGATGATGTAGTCGTCTCAATTCGTACTGGGCACGAATTGACGAAGATGTGCGCAACGTCTGACCGGCGTGTGATACAGGCCCGCACAATACGCAGCACATTTTCAATTGCCCGGTCAGACCTGCCTGATTCACTCCAGAAGACCTCTGGTTACAACCGATCATAGTATCCGAATGTTGAGAACCTGGAGTTAGAATAAGATTAGCAGAACACAAACACGCCGTGTATAACTGTTACAACAACAAAATGTTTTTAAATTTAACGTTTTTAAGATCCGGCCATTAAATAATTTTCTTTGAAAATGCTGATCTCTTGTGGAGGTGGATCAGAAAGTGTGGACCGATGTTGTCCATCTGCAAACTCGATCTAAGGTTGGTAGTATTATTACGATGTACCAAGTACGGACGGAAGGACACCATTAGATTGACTCCAAATATCCTGAAACCGATTTCGTTCTCATAATTCAAGTAAACACAATTTCATGTCTTTCCCCGTTGAGGAGTTGGTATGTTGTATGAGACGTGAGTCGAGTACCTCACTATTTTCGTCGATCTGTTCTTAGCCTCAGAGATTTATCTTTAGAGTAGGTAATGGTAGGGGTGGTCGCACTACTTAAGCTCTTGAGGCGTTATGCTCAATTATCTTCAGAGACAACTACAACAGTGGTGCATGTCATATCCAAATTGGTTAATCGAAAACTTAATCAGAAAAATGTTTCACTGGCCCGTCGTAAGTATTTGAAACCGTCAATAACGCCCCACGGATCGAGGACATCAACAATACTATCACACTCAGACCACTAGATTGGAAAGTAACTAAAAAATAAACCCAAGTCTGGAACGGTGAAAGAGGGAATTAAATTATGGCTCAAAAATTGTTTTATACCTGTCCCTACAACGAAGTCAGAATTAAAAGCAACGAATAAATAAAAAACAGGTATATTGTTAAATTCTGGCCACTAAATAACAATCAATAGGGAGGCTACTTAAATTTTCGGTAAATCAAATAACCCTCAGGCCACTGGCCGCTTGACGCAGAATGTTTTTTATGAAAGCAGTGAAACGTATATATGGCGGCAAAAAGAATATTTCGTTTTGCTTTCTTCCTAAAATCCTAAAAGCATTTTATTATTTAAGAAAAGAATTTCTGTACTTACGATGAGCTACTAATTTACTGCCGAAGACTTGTCACCTATTACATAATTACCAGTTTTTATATCTGTTTATTTGAAAGATTTTGTAACCCGTTTTTGAGAAAAAATTTGGACGAAAGAATGGCAAAATAAATTTTTGGCAAACTTGTTCCAGATTGTTCGATAAAGTTCTTTGAACTATAATTAATAGATGACACTTTTTGATTTGATTTATACACAACACCGAAGATCTATCTATACCTTCAACTGACATACAGTTATTAGAAGAATGTCTTAACTATAACAATAGCTTATCTAAACCCTATGAAATTGGTAGCAGCGTTTTTTTTTTTTTTTTTTTTTTTTGCTTATAGCACATGTTTTAGCAAGTGGGTATCCTACATTTTTATATTTAAGATAATTTGCACTAATCATGTACACTTTAATCATGTCAAATGTCCAAGATTGTGTTCTGCTCCCAAGAAGCTTCCAGAAAGATATCTCAGTACAATTCATTATGCCAGATATTACCAAAAAAGCAATAACATCAGCTGATATTGAAACAAACATTTTGTTGGATGCACAGACAATTGCAAAATTGCTTCTCTGGCAAGAAATAGTTCAACATTTTTAATCATTTAAGCGAAAGAAAACCTAAAAATGCTTAATTAACAAAAACAGCGCAAAGAAAATACGATGACAGAGCAAATTTAAACTTACCTTCTTTTCTCTTTGGGTTTGCCATTGGCTGTTAAAGCAATAGCGGAGGTGGCATTTCCTGGAGTTGCTGACGACAAAGACGAAGAAGTTGATGGAAGAAGATCAACAGCTGATTTCTTGGCTGTTTGCTCCTCCAACTGCAGACGGTTGTTATTAGTGACCGTGACCGTGTTATTATTGCCGCCACCAGCTATATTGGTGGCGTTGTTATTCACTAATTTGGATATTGCACCCATTGCTGATTTAGGTTGTCTAGTAACGACAAATTATTGTGCATTCAAGTAATGATTGTTAAGAAAATATTTATATACGATGACTGATGGCAGAGTTAAATGGGGAGGGACAAGGGAATTCTCAAAATTGGTTTTAAGCTTTAGATATTTTACTTATATTCTTGTACCAAATATTCGAGATAATTTCTTTCCTTTAATTTTACACTGGAACAATCACATACAACACTGATATATTATAGGCACTGTTTTTTTTTTTTTTTTTTTTTTAATTAAAGATCTATCAATTTTTCTGAATAAAAAGCTTTAATTTTTACAATATTTTCCAATGGTTTCTTTTGAGTTTGAAGTTTTAAAAAACGACACGAAAGATTTCTCTCACTTGTTTCTTTTTTGGCACTTTGAAGAGACAGACACTTTTATGCTCCCTCTCTCTCGATATATTAAATGACATTCAACAAGAGGTTTTATTTATTTTTTGTTTTGTTGTTTTTCTGATCTAAAGAAAATTGGGCGAATATTTGTAATTTATGAATTTATATTTTCCAATATTCCTTGACTTTCTTTTTTTCTTTTTTGTTCTCCTTTCTAGATGTCAGACCCACAAACATTTGATTTTTATTTTAGAGATATTTGCTCAAGAGAAATTATTACTTAATCATGCGACTGACAATCATTTAGTAGGAGGAGAGTGTTGTGACGACACCAAAAAGATCAAATAAACAATGAGGCTCTACACAAACGCACACAAATACACTTAATCAAAAAACACAGCACACATATTACACTTTTACAAAACAATATAAAACAAAAAATATATATAAATACTTCAGAAGAGGCACGACGAACGAACCTTTTTCCACACACTTTTTCTCATATTAATTTGATTGTGTTTTTGTTGTTGTTTTGTTAGTTAGCAGCCTGTATTGGATTTTTCTTTCTTTTTGGTAGAAGATTTATCAAAAGAAAGCCCACAAGAATTCCACACTCACAACACTGGTAAGCTGCTGGAAATGATGAACTTTCTTCATATGCATATAATCGGTAGTGATAATTATTGTTGAAGCTTCTAAATTACAATCACTTGTTATTCACTTTGTATTTTTTTGTTTGGATTACACTTGCAAAGCGCCAGATCTTGTTGGACGAAAATATTCCCGCACAAAGATTTGTTTTTTTTCTTTTCTCAGTTGAGTTGTTTGTTATTGGGGTCAATTTAAGAGACGTCAGTGACAGGCAAACGCGTTTTAACGTCCGTTCGAAATCACTTTATACAGTTTGGATTTCAACAAATTCATAAACTGAAAACTTTCATTTCACTACGGTTTTCATAGTTTTTATTATCATTTTTCTGGTAATTTTATAGAATCAATTTACAACACGACGATATTGAACACACACGAATTGGAAATTCACGAATTAATAACTAAAAGAAAGGGCAAAACATGGTTGCAAACGATTGTCATCATTTCACAGTTGATGTAAAATGGCTATTGGCATGAACATTGTTAGTGGCAAACGTAATGACATTTGTCAGCTGATGTTTGTTTACTGAAGGAAGATAAATATTTTATTAAGCACTCGCGTTTAAAAGCCATGAAATAATTTATTTTATGCGCTGTGTGTGTTTCACATGGCAAAATTGTACTCAGCAATCTCATGCTAACACATGATATACAATTGTTCCAAAATATTTCATTGGCAGCATCCATTTTTTAATTTGAATACGAAAATTACCTCCTTCGAAATGTACGCACAACCTGTGTTACGTGGCAATTAGTAATATTGTTTATGGGTTAAGATTCATAGCATTTTCATAATTTAATAGTACGTTTACGTTGTAGAGGATTTAGAAACCCCAGTCGGCTTAAATTGTCAATTCCTTTGAATATACCTCAAATAATTCTTGATAAAGAAGGTTTACCCTGAAAAAACTTCTACCGTAAACATGCCTTAACAACAAATATAACATAAATTATGGATCACAAGAACACTCTGGATCATAGGATAGAGAAAATCATATTACTTTTACCGATAAAGTGATTTTTAAATGTCATATACATTTAAAAATCACTTTATCAATTGGAAAAATGTGAATTAAAAAATATATGAATTGTTCCATTCAATCAATGTAGAACTAAGAAGGTAAAGTCATGTAATCATATGTTTACAATTTTTTCAAATTTATACATTTGACAACATCTCCTTGTCAACATCTATATACATAAATCCATTGAATACATACGAAAATACAGGAAAGGCATTCAAAAATTAGCATTTAATGGATACATTAACTGTTTTACAGATTACAATACATGGGATAGAAACACAAAGGAGATTGAGACTGGCTTGAAAGATATTCATCGTTCTTTCAAGCTGTCTTCTTTCGAAGAAATTTGTGTTTCTAGAACCCTTTTGATTGATTTTTTCGATTCTCCAGATCCCATTAAACAACATTTCTCGATCTTATAGAACTCTTGAAAATCTTAGTTTTTGCTTTGATTTTTATCTTCATCACGCATTTTCACTTTGTTACTTTTTCTCTTTTTACTTTATTGGCGCTTTATTCGGCTTTCTTCTATTCTTTTGTGGAACTTGCGTGCTTCGTGTGCTTCGTTGTCGGAAAACTATTAATCGCGAGTTCATTAATTAATATTTTCGAAATAAAACTTTCTATAATAATATAAATAGTAACAAAACGTACAATGGTAAAAGAAAAGAAACAATTTAATATTGGCGATTTAGTATTTGCTAAAGTAAAGGGCTATCCCGCTTGGCCAGCGAAGATAACTAGATACAACAACAAGAAGTATAATGTGTACTTCTATGGAACGGGTGAGACTGCCAATATAAAATTGGAAGACCTTTTCCAATATAAAGATAACAAGGAGAAGTTTGCCACCGATAAGAATATGAAACGTAACAACTTTCGTGAGGCAATGGAACAAATTGAGGCCGCACTAAATGGTGAAGATTCCGCGCCAATCGATTTGCCAGCTGTGGTTTCTGGTGGTGGTGCCGGCGTTGCGGACTCAACTGCCGACGCATCTCAATTGGAGTCGCAATTTGATAATACAGTAGATGAAAGTGCAGTAAATGATACTAACATAGATGGCGTTGATGATTCACAAATGGAAGTAGATGAAGAAGGCGGTGCTGAACCTGTTGCTAATGTCAAAGAAGAAGCCACGGCTGTCGCCACTGAAAAGTCGATAAAGAAAGATCCGGAAGCACCCACCGTCCCTGAAAGTGAAGTCGTCAGTCGCAGTGGACGCAAAATTAAATTAAAACGTTACATTGATGATGATGGAGATACTGGGCCCATTGCACACGCTCCAGCTCCCAAAAAGAAAGTACCATCAGAAGGTAGGTGAATTTGTCTTCTTCTCTATAACTGTGTTTCTCAACATTGCAATACTTGTAATCATTTTTTTATATTTCATTATGCTATTTCTGTTTTTGCAGGAATTGCTTCTCATGATGCGAAAGTAAAATCTGAAAAAAGAAATTCATCAAATGCGAAGCCGGTGGCAACAATTACACCCACGGTTAAAACTTCAACTAAAAATGAGTTTCTCAATAATTTGCTCTTGGCTTTTGTACCACCGGCAAAGTGTGTTGGCATTAAGTTGGACTACTTGAAACCAGAAACTTTTGAAACCCCCGAAGACAAGCAAAAGTGGGAAGAAAATGCCCTTAAAGAAGCTGAAGAACTTAAGACAAAACTAGAAATGGGTGCAATAAAATTAGATTCCGTTTTAGATCGAGTGGTTGTGAATCCATCACGTGGAAAGATACATCCTGATGCTGTTAATCGCTTTACCAGTCAAATGATCGAACAAGAGGACGCTCTACTAATTGAGCGTGATTTTATACAGTTGTCCGCCCAGCTAAGAGAATGTTTGGGTTTGAAACGGGCCGACGTAGATCGTTGTTTGAAAATTATCAAACAATATAAAGAATTCCAGTTGACTAAGATAATGCTGTTGCGCAACCCCGACTGTGTTGACAGCATACGTCGCATGAGGCGTTATATTGGCAATTTGAAATTGTGGAATTTGAGCGAGGAAGAAGAGGCAGATTTCAAAGCTAAGGCCGAGATTATTCGCTCGGAAGCGGTATTGATTTACAATAACTTCAAGAAAATATTCGGACCAAGCACATCGTCGCATTTCTGGGAGGAATTCTACAATCAAGCACAAACCTATGCTGAAAATACTAAACATATAAACAACCGCATTATCTTAAGCGAAGAACGATACAAAACTTTGTCGGCTAATAAAAACTCCACAAAGAACTCGAAGAGTAAAGCAAAAAAGACAGACATCAAATCTGAACAAGATGTATTGCCATCAACCGAAGATGCCACTAACGACGATGATGTAAAAGCCGAAGGGGAGGACACAAAGGCGGTGAATACAGATGAAAATCATCACACAGCCGTAGAAGCCAATTAAATGATAATATACTTGATTTATTATCATAGATTAGTATTTAAACATATTTTGAATCGATTCACCATCCTTTTTTCGAATTGGTCCATTTTTCGTTTCTTTAGAAGTTGTTTTTTAGTTAAAAGAAACAGCGAATATAACAGAAAAATGCATTAATTTAATTTTATATATTTTAGATATATGCACATACAATATCATGCTAGTTTTGGACATTGGAGGGCATTTGTGTTAAAATATTTGGTAGATTTTGAAATGCAAATTTTAATTTTTCAAATATTTAAAAGAATTGTGTTCAATAGTAATTTGTATGAAGACGTTCAAAGTTGCTTACAGGTTATATGGATGTCAATAAAAATGATCAAATAGGAAAAGAACTTGTTACAATAACTGCAAAATAATTTTATATTAAATTTTGTTTATTGTACAGAAATTATTATCATGGCTCGATTTTTTTAAAAATCAATATATATTAGCTCCTTTGTCCAAAGCTAGCATTATATTTCTGAATACATTGTAAGATTGTTTAGATTTATATATGTATTTCGTATTTTTTACGCTAAAACAACGTAAATTTTTTAAAAAAGATTTTGAATTTTTAAATTTTTGTATGGTTTTTGTTTTGGTTTCTCTATGAGAATAGAAATTTATCTTCCGGTCATACAAACAAACATTTTGTGCTAACAACAAATAGTGTTAATGACTTAATGCGTATTTCCTCTACATAACAAAATACTTAGAGCAATAGGCATTTATGTTCCGTTTCAGATTTAAATTTTTATTGACCTTTAAGAAATGTTATATATTTACCGAATCATTATTCATATACACAAACCTTATTAAATGAACTCTTCTTCTGCTACTATAACTGAGTAAATAATTTAAATAAAAATATCTTTTTTAAAATAACTTTTCGTAGCTGAAAAAAATTATATTGACATGTTTGTAATGCTAATCTGGCCCGGTTCCAAATCCTTATTATTTTTCGAATATAATAAAGATTATAATCGATTCACAACCATAGTTGTGAACCATAGGGTATGCTGCTGGGCCAAAACTAGGCAAACAACAATATATAGAAAGAGGGTGGATTCCGAGAACGGTATTTGCACTGTATTAATATATTGTATTAGTATGAGTACTGCTCAGTTTGTCTGACAAACTTATCGGTAGCTATCTTGCCTGATTGGTCTTCTTCTTTAGATCAAGTAAAAGCTTCGTGACACGCATGGGCGAACATTTTACCTTTGACAACCTTGCAGTATTGCAACGAAAGCATGTGATTATTATGGTCTAAGGCGTCTGTATGTAGAAGGAAGTGCATCATTCTGATAAATCGAAATTGTGCTGCACAGTCTGGCACTAGCATTATCGGGAGTCTTTGTCGTACCAATATTTATGAGGTTACGATTTAATCTTCCTCCCTTTCGCTCATCGTCCTGCTCATGCATTGTCATTTTCGTAGACCATGTGCTTAATATTATGACCGTTGAAGACCAAACTATGTCAAAACGGTACAATCTTCCGTACAACTATAGATTTCTAGAGGTACCAATCCAACTTAGAAATTCCTGCTTCACTCCGGAATCTACATCGATAATCTATTACCCAACGTTTCAGTGTAGTGTTTCCGAATTACTCGAACATTATTACGTGACTGACAGAATCAAATGTATTTACAACCTCACTTCCTATTCTGCTTATGTTCTCAACTAATGTGTTGCGGATGTTCCACTTCGTTATCGGAAACGGTATAGCCGGAATTTTGCCCGTCTTCTGTAGCACCTTCTTTCAGTCTTCGAAAAAATGTCTGTGGATTGAGGTGCAATACTTTGATTTAGAATCCGTATGGTTTCAATGCTTCTGATGTTATTTATAGCGTCACACTACATAAACTGTGTTGGTAAACTGTGGTCTTATGCGACGTACTACCCTACGCTGCATTCTGCTCGACGAGCCGTCTGTTGAAATAAACGAACCACATTTGCACATGACTTGCCGTTCTGTCCTTAAATGTGACTAATTTTCTAAAATCCTGTTGCCCAAGATGCTCTTAATTCCAATGTTGCCACACTTCAGTCCGTTCTACCTCCTGCTTTTGTTTCTCGGTCTATTCCACACCTTTTAATGTTTGATTCCCGGGTAGCCGAAACTTTTGATCATTCGCAAGTTTGCTCTTACTATACAACAACAAGCAATAAACGAGCGACTGGAGCTGTGATAATGTCTCCACAACTACTTCTGATTGAGAATATCAAAACTTTTGCGCAATTCTCTAAAATGACGGTTATGACTCTGAATTTAGGGCAATTAACCTTTCGTTGCGTTTGAAAAAGTGCTGAGTTAAAAAGTTCCGACTAGTTGATGGAGACAATTGTGGATAGAAGTTTTGATCCTAGGGGCATGATGGGTTTCCAATTAGACCTGATGACACGGTGGTTATGGCTGGAGAACTATTGCCTAGTGTTTAATTAGTTTTTCCAGCAGCGAAGTCGATACGTAAGACTAAATGACTAGGTAGCTAGTCATTTTCTGAATTCAAGTTAATTCGCTTTCCGTGGTTAATGAGATTGCGGAATCTAGAAATTATGATGTGTTTAATGAGTCTGGAGAACTCTCATTTTTACCCACCGCTTGGGTGAAGTGGTCAATTTGGTTTGCTAGCAGCGGAACAGATTCCAAAATACCAAATATCGTGGGTTCCGTTATATGGGGATCTTGGATCAATATGGACAATGTCTTGACAACGGTTGAAGATCCCAACGGTTGACAACGGTTGAAGATCCCAAATCCGATAAAAATGTAACCTAAATAGTAAAGATACTGAATATCTGCAACTATATGAGTGGGGGGCAATAGGGAGACGTGGACTTATATAGACAATGGCATGCCAAATGATGTAAAACCCAATAAATGCAAAAAGAAAAAAATATTGCGAGATAAACTTATATGGGCGCACAGTTATATGTTTGGCAGCCAAAGGTAGAACTCGTTGAAAAATGGGACTAAAATCATCGAAATACCGAAAATCAGGAGGTAGCGTTACCAATACAAACTCTTGAGCTAGGTACAATACAAATTGGGACAAATTTACGGAGCTGGCTATACCCTGGCTTCACCGTTTCGACAACATGGTCTTAATCTCAACCCTCGATATAGACAACTCCGTAAATGCGATAACTAGTGCCTTAATTGGGTGTTATGAAAAAGTCTGTCCACTAACCCACCCGGGAAAGAAATGTCAACCTGTTTGGTGGTCAAAACATTTAGCCAATCTAAGGAGGGATAGTAGACGACTGTACAATAGGGCCAACAAGACCAAACATAGTACGGACTGGGATGCCTACAAAGCATCCTTCAACAAGTACAACAGTGAGATCAAGAAGGCCAAGCGCTCATCTTGGGTATGCTTTACTGAGTCGATTGAAAGTGTCAACGAAGCCTCCAGATTTCGTAAAGTCCTTTCGAAGGACCCTAAATCCATCGGAAGTATAAAACGGACTGACGGCACATGGACTGACTCTGGACTAGAGACTCTTAACCTGCTAGCCAACACGCATTTCCCCGGCTGTATTGACGCGACAAGCAATCGGCAAACCGATCAAGTACATCATGATCATACAACTAGGGACCAAGACTTGGCTGACAGAATAGTAAGTTTACCCAAAATCAAGTGGGCCATAGATACATTCAAACCTTTTAAATCTCCAGGACCAGATGGTGTTATTCCTGCTATGCTCCAAAGTGTCTCAGCGGTAATATCACCAGTACTGAGTGAGATTTTCAAAGCTTGTCTGCGTCTATCCTACATCCCAGAATCATGGAGGGAAGTCACAGTCACTTACATCCCCAAAGCGGGGAAACCGAGTCACTCACTTCCCAAGGACTATAGACCGATAAGTCTCTCATCCTTCCTATTGAAAACCTTGGAAAGGCTGATAGACACAGAGATCAGATCTCTAATACCCCAAACCGCCATCAGCACTGCTCAACATGCCTATATGAAAGGCAAATCTGTTGAGACAGCGCAACATGATGTCGTAGGGTATATAGAGAAGAACATGAATGGCTCCTTATTCACATTGGCTGCCTTCCTCGATATTGAGGGAGCTTTCAACAACGTCACGTTGGAATCCATTCATGAGTCACTATCAAAACTAAAATTGCCACAACTCCTCATAGACTGGGTTGATAACATGCTTAGCAGCAGAATCATCAACTCGAGCATTGGGGAAACATCTGTCAGGAAATCGGTCACTAGGGGCACGCCACAAGGGGGCGTCCTATCACCGTTACTCTGGCTTTTGGTTATTAACAACATACTTATAGATCTAGAGGTAACAGGGACGAAAGTAGTCGCATACGCTGATGATGTCGTCCTACTAATTGCCGGGAAATTCCCGCAAACAATCTCGGACCTAATGCAAGGAGCTCTAGTCACTCTATCACGGTGGGCACGTCAAAACGGGCTAGGCGTGAACCCAGCAAAGACAGAGCTCGTACTTTTCACTAAGAAGCGTAAATATCCGTTATTTACACTACCAAGACTAGATGGAGTCACTCTAAACCTCTCACCAGAGGCCAAATACCTTGGTACAATCCTTGACCGACAATTAAGTTGGAAGAGGAATATTGAGGAACGAGCCAAAAGAGGTTTTATCGCACTCTATTCTTGCAAGAACTCCATAGGTAAAAGCTGGGGCCTCAAACCATACATCATTAAATGGTTGTATGAGTCAATCGTTCGCCCCATTCTAACCTATGGATCTCTAGTATGGTGGCATTCTCTAAAGAAGCCAACTTACTCACGCAACATTAACAAAGTCCAAAGAGCCGCATCCTTACTAATAACGGGTGCCTTTAGGAGCACGCCTCAAGCTGCGCTAGATACTCTACTGGGTTTAAGCCCGCTGGCCATACATGTAGAGGAACTGGCATTCAGGTGTGCTCTTCGGCTCAGGGAACTAGGTGAATGGCGTAGTCAACCATTTGGTCACTCTACGATTCTAAGGCGTGTAAGGACTGTGGGAGAGATAGCCTATGCAAGTGATTATATTTCACCACGATTAAGCTTCTGCCCACCTGAAATACACATACCTGAAAGAGAAGCCTGGTCCCAAAACAGCCCACCTTTCCGCGGCATATCTGTATATACCGACGGCTCAAAGATGGAATGCGGTACGGGAGCAGGTGTCTTCTGTGACACCCTTAATATCCGTGAATCCTACAAGCTCAGAAACAATTGTAGCGTTTTTCAGGCAGAAATCCTGGCGGTCAAAAAGGCCATAGACCTGCTAGTCACGAGGAACATAGAGGTCGGAAGTCCGGTGACTATATATGTCGATAGTCAGGCGGCACTGAAAGCACTAAATTCCTTTACTATCAAGTCTAGGGCGGTTTTAAGCTGCAGGGAAGCCTTGGAACACTCTAGGTTGTCAATCAAGCTTTGTTGGGTTCCCGGCCATTACAATATCACAGGTAACGAAACTGCAGATGAATTGGCCAGGCTAGGATCCGAATCAACTACAATAGAAATAGATAATTCGGTCAAACCACCACTGTGCCACTTCCTACAGATCGTTCGCAAACACTACCAGGAAAAGACACAACAAAAATGGCTGGATGAAACGGGATGTACCATCTCCAAAAGAATCTGGCCTGTGCTCTCAGAGAAGAGAACAAGATCGCTGATGTCATTGTCTAAACCAGATTTAAAACTTGTGGTGGGCATCATCACAGGTCACTGTAAGGTGAGGGCTATGACCTCAAAATGGGACAGCGATGATATTGATTACTGCAGGATCTGTCAAGATGAAGAAGAAATTGAGACAATCGAACACTTGCTCTGCCACTGCCCAGCGCTCATTAACGTGAGACATAAACTAGTGGGAGAACTAGTGTCACGTGATTTGTCCTCTTTTTCTACCACGGACCCTGCAGTGATCCTTCAATTAGCCAGAAGGTTCAAGTGGCTAAAGACGACACGGCAAACTCAGCCGTAGACTACGTACTATCTATTTCCTACTGTCAATTCTTATACTTTCTCTATCTTTCGCTCTAACTCTTTCCTAGGATGAACACAATGGACCTATAGGTCTCCGAGTGGAGCAGTTGCTAAATGCAGCTGCGCGTCCTTTAACCTAACCTAACCTAGGTACAATACAAACTCTTGAGTAAAAAATATGGACTGTATAATTTCAACAGACTGAGTTAACATTGCAATAGGGTAAACATGAATTAACAGCACAAGAAAATGTACAATAGTAGTTTAAAAACGAAAGGACATTTTGGAGTCTTCAAATTCTCGTTTGTCCTTTTCATCTGATAAATTCGCAAAGCCATATTACAAGTAGATATGGTAATGGAATTCGAATGATATATTATATACTAACATTAAACTAATTCTAGGAACGAAACTAAAAAAAGATGTCAAAGTTAACTTAACACGCACTCATGGTGGAGACTCTAAAAATTAAAATATTGATCAAGAATAAGTGAATATGTAATTCAATAAAGATTAGATAGGCAAACTTAAACCCACATTGACAAATAATATCATAGTCATGCACAACAACCCAAGGCATTTAAATACCAAACATGTTTGACGTGTCGTCGAGCCACCTAAGTGTACACGGAGTATACATAGCTGCACATTTACGATAACTGCGTTTAGTATGTTTTTTTGTTTTCCTTTACATACCAATTTTCTTATTTTACCTGCCTAAAGATAGAAAGTCAATTTTAGCACTTAACTAGTTGAAAATTTATTTAATTTAGTTGCAATTTGCCAAGTAATTGCATGGGAAATGTCTAAGAAAAAGCTAACTTCCCTATCGATACGAGAAAAATTGAATATTATTAAAGAAGTTGAAGAGGAAAAAGCTAACAAAAAGTACATATGTGACAAATACAAATGCAACATTTCCACGGTGCACCGCATTCTTAAAAGAAAAGACGAAATAAGACAAGCGGCAGCGAATTCTTTAAATTTAAAACAAAAACGGAACAGAAAAGGTTTTCACTATAATGTTGAAAAAGCATTAACGGCCTGGTATTACGAACAACAAGGAACTTATAGAAAAATAGCCGGTACTGTCCTAATCAAAAAAGCAAAACAATTAGCCATTGAATTGGGTGAAGACTTTGAGCCAGATGCAAATTGGATATTTAGATGGAGAAGGCGTAATATTTGTGGTCCAAATGCCGTTGATGAGGAAGAGGGTGACGACAGTAATTTCGAAATCAGAGAAATGGGTGACGAGAGTTCTGTACATGACCAATTAGTTCTTAAGTGTGAATACGAAAATGAGGATGTGAATGCGAAGGAATTAATCCCAAAAATATTTGATAAAACAGTTAAGTTGTAATTACATTTTTTTCTGAATCGATACTTAAATGTCCACTTTTATTTATTTTAAGGATATGCTTAATGGACAAAGGGTCAATGTAAGCCCCGAGGCTATCACTGAAGAATCAATGGAAGTCGAATCAACAAATAAAACCAATAGTAGAGATAGTTTCGATCGCATTGTCGAGACATGGGCGGATAAACTGAGAAGAATGGATCCGTTGCAACAGCTGTGGGCGGAAAAGTTTATTAATGATATAATGTTAGAAGGTCAACTGGGCAATCTTCATCGTCATAGTGTTCAAATTATGTGATTTACCAAATAATAAAACTGCGTTATTACATTGATTATATTGTAAGGAAAAAGAAAACGTATTTCTATTGTCTTGCTTCTTTAACACCCCCTGAATTGGGTGCCTTTCAATACACTAAGCGGAAGAACTTATCCGCAAAACATACTGTTTATGAAAGAAATAATGAAAATTTTGATTGTATTGCGAACAAAATTTGGAATCGCTACCCTCTTGAAGCGATAATAAGTAAAACTTGTTGATTTCTAGGAATCCGACTCGTAAAAAAGTAACAGAGACTTAAATGAACTGTATATCGAAGTCCAGTGGTATAAATGTGAGCTTTCACATCTAGAAAACCAACAGGCAAGCATTCACGCTAGTGCAGATTGTGTTTGCAATAATCTCAATTTATATTGGGAGCGATTTGATGGTGCAATGTGATTGCATTTCTCCATGCTGATTTTGGTCGTAGATATCCTCAGTTGCAGACTTTCTGAATTCTAAACGAGTCGAAAACAACCCTAATTAAAGAAATGAATATTATTGGTGTACTTGTGAGTCTACAACAACCAATGCGAATGTTAGATTGGTGATAGTGTAAAGTTTAATTAAAAAAATACAAATGACCTTTGTTAAAATCAGTTTACTGAATCCAAAGTCCAATCCTTTTTCGGTGTTTTATTTTTTTCTTTATTTCAAAAATAAAACATTTAAAGTATCTAGCAGGAGCTATGAACCATTCTGTTTTGCTAACAGATGTATACCGTCTGCCTGTGGCAGTGGTCCCAGATGTTGGTAATTGACAAACAAAAATTCTCTTATTCCATTTTCAAAGTTCAATCACAGTTTGTATTGAAGGATTGTTCAAATGTCATTTATACTATATCGATTTATGGTTTTAATGGCATACCCGATAGTCCAGCTTTATTCTTGTACATTTGACCGAAATTTAAACGTTTTCAAAAAACTTTTTTATTTTTTTCGCAGAGATCTATAATTTGTAAGGATGTGAGGTCGTAGTACAAATCCCAAGTAGTCTCTGATGTACAACCTCGATTTGGACAGGAAGGCTTGCAGATGAAAACATGCAACATGGTATCGATGATTTACAAATATTTGCACGTAATTTTGATGTTCCTTCTCCTTCTATAGATGATTTCTTTCACAAAATTAATTTTTCGCTATACTTTATTAAACAAAGTGATCAGTTCTCATCAAAAAAGTTTAGCTGACTTGTTCCAACAAAAAGAAATTGTCATATCAACCAACTCAATGAAATTGTAAACAAATGCCTTAAACTAACTATTTAATAAATATGTACTCTTATTTAATGTTCGTAACCATAATTACTCTTTTCATCACCTATGCCATCTGGTAAGATAGCAAACATTGCTTCCGATTCGGGTAAGCAAGGTGAATCATATATCTTGCATATACGTGTATCACCACGGCCTTTTCGCAATGACAGACGTGTGGTCGAGGCATGCGCTATAATATTGCCTCCAATTGGTTTTTTGGCATCAGCCTGAAACATGGATGCACCACCATTTACCTCGGCTACCACTTGATTTGTAATTACAACAGCAACACCAAATTCATCGGACAATCGCAACAATAAACGTAAAAATCGCGCCAAATGCATTTGACGTGCAGCCAATTCGCCGCGTCCTGCATAGTCGGTACGATACAAGGCTGTCGCACTATCTACAATTATTAAAGCATATCTGCAAATGGAGATGATTATATCATTGTATTATCCATTGTTTTTATTTTGTTGAAACTAACCTTGATTCTGTCATCATTGCGGCACCCTGCATTAACAATTGGGTTTGATGATCGGAGTTGAAAGCCCTGGCACATGCAACATTGTCGAGTACATCATCCTTTACCAATTTATAACGATCGGCCATGGCCACTAACCGTTCCGGTCTAAATGTACCTTCAGTATCAATGTACAAGCATTTGCCTTCACCACCACCTTGACTGATTGGCAGCTGACATGTTACCGCCAATGTGTGACAAAGTTGCGTCTTTCCCGAACGAAACTCTCCAAATAGTTCTGTAATCGAACCAGTCTCTATACCGCCTCCCAATAGTTTGTCCAGCTCTTTGGAGCCTGTGGTTAGCATTATAATCTCTGAACGTTTCTGATAGAAACTGAGAGCGGATGTAAAACCCATGGGTACCATGGTGTAGGCATATTCGACAAGTTTATCGACTTTACTATCCGAAAATCCCCTGATGGCCAGAAGTTCTTTTCTTGGAGCAAATGCCACAGATTCCACTGTATGGAAACCAGCATTTTTTAATTTTTCTATATCATTGGCTGTAATACCATTTACTTCTATTTTTGTAATGGGAATCGGTCCGCCCTCCTCCTCTTCTTCTTCGACATCATCCGTTGTAGCAGTGGCCAATGATCTATCCTTATCCATGTATTCCATTTTCGAGATTGTAGAGTTGCACTTTATAAATATTAAATTCTTATGCTGTTTGCTTCCATGTATTGTTTTATTTCGTTGATCTAAATTATTTCGAGCTTGCGTATTATTTTTTCAATTCGCGCTTGCATATAGGGATACTTCGATCGGGTTTCAAAGAAAATTTCACAACAAAGGATCGGTAACTGAACATATCTCCAGCGCTATTGTCTAGCGTTGCCTTTTTTATAACTGTACAAACAAAATGTTATATATGTCGAGTGCCAACGGATATGTGGATGACATTACACTTGGGGAAATGGAATATCCAAAAAATAAGACATTAATTGTCTTCTAATTATCAAACGATCAGAATTAAAGTGATCTATTTTCAGATTCTGGAATAAATTTTCTTAAAAATTAAATAGAAACAATAGCTTAACTATACAACTCTAGTTCCGACAGCTTGCTTTATAGGACACCTTTTTGGAACTAACCATACATTCTTATAACCATGTTTTGAATGTTTTCTTTGTTCTCGGCGCAGAGTAAGGCGGAAAATCATAAAAGACAAACTTTAATTTGATAGTTCCTTCAAGCCTAAAAAAGTACCAATTTTGGAAGAGTGTTCTCTACTCAGGCACCGAGCTCAGAAAGTGCAGCCAACAAATAGTTCTGCTTTGTTGTCTGTTCAGAACCTTAGCTAGTTCCGCACTTTTATAGTGAATGTGTTCAGTATTCCTCATGTCTCAATCGTAAACAACACAGTACCCGGCGTTATGCATTACTCTTATTCGTAATGCTAATTTTATGTACTTTTGTACAAATACCTATTACAATAAACAAACAAATAATTCGAAAAAAAGAATTATTGGTCTGTTCCTGAACTGCAAGAATGTAAAAGTTTTTACTATGATACTCAATTTTCCCTTTATGATATCGAAAAAAAAATGCAAAACTAGGTGATTCTTGCAGGTTCTGGAACAGCCCTTATGTTACTATGAATTATGAATTGTGCCGTATGAACCGGTTAATTCGTGTACCTATTTCTGAGAGCGAAGAACGTGATTGAAAGTGCTATGAGAACCTAGCATAAGTCGAACAATCAATTATGAATATTCGAGTACTCGGGTTTCACCCAAGTCCATAGTCGAGTTCGACTTTCACAACTACACAACTACTAAAAGTCGATTATTTTATTAATCGGAAGTCGACTTACCTATCCCTATTCATAACCTTAAAAAACCTTATGTAAAAAAGTGACTTAGGAAGTTACTCCAAATATTTTTCTTCAAAACTATCACAAAATTATTAATAGAAAATATCAACAAGTTGCCTGGATGCAACTGAATTATGAATGATTACATTTATTTGGACGTTGAATTGTAAGTAAAAAACTATTGCCCATAATAATCGACAAAAATAAACATGTTTTTGTTTCTCTTCCCCACATGATGAAATGACAACAAAAGGAAACTGAAAGAAGATTCTTCAGCTGTGTTGACACCGGCATATTTTCAAGGAAGCATTGAAAGATCATTGGCCGAGTTCTTTGGTGAAATAGGTGGCCAGACCGAATTGGAACTACTGAAATTTGATTGTACCCAAAAGCGTGGAATTTTAAAAGTACCCAAAGAGTTTTCATCCAAAACAAAAGCTGCCATTACATTGATTGGTCGATTCCAGGACATACCGTGTCATTTTGCCATTGTGAAAACTTCAGACAAACCATTAGAACTTTAAAACTAGCATAATGTCCTCGGGTTATTGTAAGAAGTTCGGTAAAGATACCGTTATATTTGCCACAAAAGAAGATCATGCTACACCCTCAAATATAGAGTTGCCACCACCCGAACCAGCTCAAGGCATTATCACCAAAGATGGTGAAATCAACTGGAGCTGTCCCTGTTTGGGAGGCATGGCCACAGGTCCCTGTGGTGTACAATTTCGTGAAGCATTTTCTTGCTTCCACTACAGTGAAGCAGAACCCAAGGGGTCGGATTGTTATGAGGCTTTTCGCACAATGCAAGATTGTTTTACTGAGTATCCCACCGTTTATAATAAATCTGGCGGCAGTGGAGACGATGATGAGGATGGGCCCGGTCTTGATTTGTCATCTATGGAGGATATAAAAGAAGATGAAAAGGCAGCAGTGGAGGCTAGTACAAATCAATCGTTGGAAAAAGTTAAATAATTCATTTAGTTTTTAAGTTGTTTGTAAGGTGTATATAATAGAGGTTGATTTGCTTATCTGTTTAATTGACAACAGAAATGTTAAAACTAAATGCGATATGTTAAACGTCCCAACATACCAAATTGACTTGAGAATAATATTTTAATAAGCTTACAAACATAAGCCTAAAGCTTGAGAAAATCTTGAGAAAGTATTGAGAAATGTTTGTTTAACAATTATAGAATAATCGAAAAGGAACCATTATTCATAAGCTTATTCTTGTAATTGCAGAATAAGCTTACGAAAGTAATATTTTATAAAGCTTATTTTTTCAATGGTAAAAAATATTTATTTATTCATTTTTTAATTATTTTACACATTTCATTCATTGATTGCCATCCCAGCTGTCACTGCATCCTGTTGCCTTGATACCTAGATGCTTTCTTTCCCCTTATTTGAGCTTCTGTATCTCCTCCACTTATTCTTCACTTCTGTTGAATTCCTGCAACTTTTTGACGCCTCCATTCTGAAATGAGATTGAAATAATTTATACTACAGATTCCCAGATTTATTATTCATCATTACCTTACAGTTTCGTCCGGAAATGGGTCCTAAATTCGCGTGATTTTGATTTTAACCAAAGAAAATAATTTTTTGTTGACAATTTTCACAAAAAATGTCAAAACAAATTTGTCAACAAAGGACAGATTTGAGAAAAGTTTGTGCAAAAAAGTGTTTCTCAAGCATTGTTGAAAAATTCTTATGATAAACTATTTTCATAATATTATTCTCAAGCTGTATTGTATTTTTGGTATGTTGGGGTGTCCCAACATACCAAAAATACAATACAGCTTGAGAATAATATTATAAAAATAGAAATTTTCAACAATGCTTGAGAAACACTTATGTTCCACAAACATTTCTCAAATCTGTCCCTTTTTTACAAATTAGTTTTGATTTTTTGTGAAAATTGTCAGCAAGAAATTATTTTCTTTGTCAAAAAACAAAATCATGCGAATTTAGGACCCATTTCTGGACCGAACCCTTAAGGTATGGATGAATAATAAATCCGGGAATCTTTCACATAAATTATTCCAATCCCATTTCAGATTGGAAGCATCAAAAAAGTTGAAGGAATTCAATATGTGTGTAGTCTTAGTGGAAGAGATGCAGAAGTTCAAATAAGGGAAAAGAAAGCGTCAGGGTATCAAGGCCACATGAAGGAGTGACTACTGGGATGTCCATCAAGAAAAAAAAATGTGAAAAATGATTAAAAATTAAAAAAAATAATATTATATACTATTACAAAAATAAGCTTATTTTAATATTATTTTTGTAAGCTTATTCTACAATTTCAAGTATAAGCTTATAAATAAGGGTTCCGTTTCGATTATTCTATACTTGTTACACAAACATTTTTCAATGTTTTCTCAAGATTTTCTCAAGCTTAAGGCTTATGTTCATAAGCTTATTGTAATATTATTCTCAAGCCATTTTGGTATGTTGGGGTTTTACAATAAAATACTTAGTAGTATTGAAAAAACTACCACAATCAAATCAAATTAAAATATGTCGAATACCTTATGACGCAGAATTAATTATTGCAGCCAATATGACGCTTGACAAGGGGAAAATAAGGCACCGACATTTTCTAAAAACAAATAGGTTCAAACAAATATCTTTGAATCCAATCAGTGAGATCTAACTTTCTGATTCTATTTAGGGCCCGCGATTTATCTCGAAGAGGTCCTACTTGTCCACTTAAAAAATATAACAACTATCTGAAATATAGAGAAGGTTTCTTCTTCTTTATAATTCAAAATTAATTTAAAATGTTTGGAAAATTCAAACGATTTATTCTCAAGATACTGAGGGAACATATGGCGAAAAATAAGCCACACCGACATGTTTTAAGAAGTCCCTAATAAGAAACCATTTGTTCGGACAATTATCTTTTCGGTCTAATTAATTTGACTATCATTCCCCATTCGTCATCATTTATCATTTCTCTTAAAGGGGGTCTATTTGTTGCATAATGGGGGCTGTAAAAGCAACATATTCCATAAACATAGCATATTGTATTAATTGTACCAATCTTAGATCATATTGGCCTACATGTCTTTCTGCTACTTACAACCCAAAAAGAATGGCCTTCCCATTTTGCCCCAAGTTCTCCACATCATAATAATCAATTTGGTAAGCAAATTATTCTATTTTTTCATATCGATCTTTATTCTATTGAACATTACAAAAGAAACCAATAAAGAACCGATTGTTTTATGTTATTGTTAATCTCGTTAAACACAATGATAATCGTCATAGTGGCGGCTCAATTTAATAACTGCGTCCAAACAGTGTGTAGAATTTAGGTTTATTCGTGCACGCAGGATGTACACATTTGTCAGCGGCAGTAATGGTGGCGGGTTGTTCGAAGGGTATACACAATGATTTAGCACCCATGGCTGGAGCCCCAGGCTCGGCATCTTCATCACTGCAATATTACAAAAAATTTACATAAATCAATGTTTCCCACAAAAAAAAAAACTTCAATATCCAACATACCGTGCACTATCGGCCTTAATTTTATCCTCGCAAGAAATTTCGCCACAGAATGGAGACAGTAACAAATTCTTTTGGTCCAAGAATTTACAGAAATCTGTCCAGTCCTTTGTCAGTTTAATACTTGAATCCAATTCCTTTTGTGCCTTAGCCAACATGCTGTTGTGTATCGTTTTCAAGAGTTCGTTGATCTTCTGCTCAATATTGTCCATGGTCAAGACCAGCTTTTCACCAGTATCTCTGCGCACCGCAACAATTTGTTTGGCTTTCATGTCCTTGGGACCCAATTCGATACGTAGGGGGACACCCTTCAATTCCCAATGATTGAATTTCCAACCAGGCGAATAGTTGTCACGATAGTCTCCCTCGCAACGCACTCCACTTGCAACCAATTGTTTTTCCAATGCTTTGCAGGCATCCAATAATTCGGCCCTTTCATTTTCCTTGGTATTTACGGTGATGCCACAGGGAACGACAATTGCTTGAATGCAGGCGACTTGAGGTGGCAACACTAAACCTTGGTTGTCGGCGTGGACCATAATCATGACACCAATTGTTCTTGTGGTAATACCCCAAGAATTCTGATAGACAAATTGTTTTTGTTGCGTTTCGGGATCCTCATAGACAATTTCGAACATTTTTGAGAAGTTTTGTCCCAAGTGATGGCTGGTGGCTCCCTGGATGGCCCGTCCGGATGCTGAAATGAAGGCTTCGACAGTGGTTGTGTAATCACCACCAGCAAACTTTTCCTTTTCGGTTTTGCGACCCTTTACAACAGGTATGGCCAACAGATCGGTATACACTTGGGCATACAATTCCAAAATGTCTAGGACTTCTTTGTCGGCTTCAGCCTTTGTGGCGAAGGCGGTATGACCTTCTTGCCACAAGAATTCACGTGTGCGTAGGAAAGGCTGAGGATGTTTGAATTCCCAACGAACAACATTATTCCATTGATTTAGGCGAATGGGCAGATCACGATAGGATTGAATCCATTTAGCATAGGCAGGATACATAATGGTTTCGGAGGTGGGACGTACAGCAATGGGTTCAGCCAAATCGGAGTCTCCCGACTTGGTTACCCATGCTACTTCGGGAGCAAAATCAGCTATGTGGGTCTTCTCCTTCTCCAAAGCTGCCCTTGAGACAAATATGGGGAAATAGCATTCTTTAACGCCCATTTGTGTGATCTGAGCATCGAACCACGTGCGGATGAATTTCCAGATGGCAAACGACCAATGACGCAAAATGTAACAACCGGAAACATCATAGTATTCTATCAGCTCACCCTTGGTGATAACTTGAGAATACCATTCTGGCAAATTTTCCTCCTTTGTGGCTTCCAAGCCTAAACGGGTTTGTTTTTTGACTGCTCCCGAGGCAGATTCTGGTTCTTTCTTGGCGGGTTTGGCCGGCTTGGGGGTTTCTTTCTTCTCTTGAGGAGCTTTCTTGACCGATCCACCTCCCGATCGTCCAGCGACGGGGAAGTCGGTGCCAGTAACTTCCTTATATCTGGCTTTCAAAGCCAGCAGTTTTGCAACCTCAGCATCAATTTCTTCTTTGGGTGCCTTGTTTGTCTTGGCAGTGCGTACCTTATCACCTTGCTCGGTAATTTCCTTGGTTAGCAAATCTTTCTCTGTTACAGGTGCAGATGACATCTTAACTGGTTCCTGCTTAACAGCTTCTACTTTAGGTTCAACTTTGGCGTCCGGCGTCCAATCTTTACCGGTAAGAGTTTTATATTCCGCTTTCAGAGCAAGAAGAGTTTTTACTTCAGGGTCTATCACGTTCTTGGCAGCCTTTTCAGACTTGAGTTGACGAATCTTGTCACCTTGTTGCTTGATTTTTTCCAAAACACTTGCAACACCTGAGCTGGGTGCTTCACCTGTCAGGTCAATCACTTCAGTTTTTGTCACAACGGGTGCTACTGTACCTGGTTTCCAGTCTTGTCCTGTAAGACTCTTATAATCGGCTTTCAGTGCCAACAATAATTGTACGGCTGGATCAATGGTAGCCTTGTCAGCCTTCGAAGCTTTCAATTGTCGTATCTGATCACCTTGTGCAGCAATTTTACTGAGCAATTCGGCTACAACGTTGGCCGATGGTTGATCGGGGCTTTTTTCCTTTTTAACAACAACTGGTGTGGATGGTGCAACACAGCCTGGTTTCCACTCTTCCCCGGTTAGCTGTTTGTATTCAGCCTTCAAACTAAGCAATAGTTTTACTTCTGGTTCAACTGTGGCCTTTTCTGCTTTTTGTGCCTTGAGTTGTCTTATTTTATCGCCCTGTGCGGCAATTTTATTTAGAACCTCGGCAACACCACCGGTATTGGCAGCAGGGGCGGGAGTTTGTGTGGTTGTAGGTGGTACTGATACACCAGGTTTCCAGTCCTGTCCGGACAATTTCTTGAACAAGGCCTTCAAATCCAAAAGAATTTTCACTTGCGGTTCAATTTCGGTTTTTGGAGCCTTCTTAGCCTTAAGGTCGCGTATCAAATCACCTTGCTTGATAATTTGCTCATTGACTGAAACAGCATTAGCAGAGGGCACCGTCGTTGTGGTTACTGCTGCGGCCGGAGATGGGGTTTGTCCAGGTTTCCAATCTTTACCAGTTGCTGTCTTATAATCAGCCTTCAGAGCCAAAAGTTTCTTAACCTCAGCATCAATTTGTGCCTTGTCTGCTTTCTTAGCCTTAAGATCGCGTACAATATCACCTTGTTTGGAAATTTGTTGATCTAATTCGTTGGCATTGGAAGATGTTGTACCATTTGTTGTGGCCTGTAATTAAAAGGGTAAAGAAAAAATTTAGTTACTTTTTTTGTATACGTCATCATTTCAAGTTTGGTTCGTCGTTGGTTTAACGTTGAATGTACAACAACAATAAGTATGAGTTGAACGTGAGAAATGACTTGGCCTGACGTTTAGTTAACTCCCCCCATTGGTTTGGTTAACATATCAACTCACCCGTGCCTACCAAACGCTGTTAAACAAATGAAAGATTAGGTCGACCATATCCATCTTCATGGTATCACAAAACAAGAGTTGACAATGTGCATGAGTTACTCTCAAATAAAGTACGACTATATTTGACTCTTGCACGAGGTAGTAACAACAAGTGTGCTTGTTGTGTGTTTGTGCCATGATAACATATGTTGCGTTTAAGAGTATATGTTTATTTCTCTTTCAATAGCATTGTGTTGAGAGAAAGTAATTTGATCGTAATTTAAAGAGAATTGAGAGAAAGTAATTCAATTATGATTTTAAGATAATTGAATGAATTCTTTACGAATATATTCCTAAGACATATTGGAGTTATAACAATGGGTATGTTAGGAATATATTCGCAAAGTGACAAGAGCTATAATAGGAAAATCACATATCTGAGGTCGTGAATCCCTTTAAAAATATTCTCAATTAAAACTGTCGATTTAGTAAGGATTTTAAACCTATAATTGTCGACTTTCTAAGATTATTTTCCTAAGATTTTTCCGAGCTATAGTAGTAGATTTCGTGGGACATATCCATGGTATAAGAATATAGGTAGACGCATCGATGCAGCTGCTGGGACAATGAACTGTCAAACCAATTTTGGAATAGAAAATGTTGAGTAAAAAATTATTTAAATTTGTAAAAATCGTTGAAAAACGCGAATTACAATAACCTCCTAATGACGTCGTATAAGAAAACGTATAAAAATCTACTTATATTTGAAAGTACTTTTAAATTTTTTTGACATATCAATGTTTCCAAGCGTCGATGCATCTACCTGTATTCTTTTACCATGGATATATCCAAGTTATACTTTTGATGTTTAATCATTTAGGATCGTTCAAAAGGAATTCTAAAAAAAATGTGATATTTTAAAAATACTTTAAGATTTGTAGGAAAATATGTGGATTTTCTAGTTAGATTTATTTAGGTTTAAGTCGCTTTTTATAGTTTCCCCAGGTTTTATCATTTTCCTCAGTCATGTTAGAGAAATCAAGCTTGTTGGGTTCTTAGCAATCAGAACATATTTGGCAATGAAGCAGCCTTATCCGAGTCAATCGCCTTGGAAATAACAGTTTCATGTTTTATTTTCTTTTTACACCTCACCTCTACTCTATTTCAATTTTTCCCTTTATTCCTCCACACTTTCTCTCTATAGGATGAACACAATAGACAATTTGGTCTCGGAGTGAAGCAGTTTTCAATAAGTCAATTGCCCGCATTTTATGCTTACCTAATTTATACTTCGAATTCATACTGACTGTTCTCAAAAAATAGAACATACTGTAGGTATCAATTGGCAATTATGGCAAATTAAATGATAAAAAGACTGCGGTCGTAAAATACCACATATTTTATCTCACAGTGTTGATTAGCGATAAAGAATGAATGAAAGTGTATTAACTGAATAATGGATCCCATGTAAAGAATATCTTGAACTGTAAACTAATGACTATACAATTCCGTTTAAGATATTCTATGCTCAAAGTTTTGTATCATAGAACACAAATCAACTCACCGCTTTATTAGCATCAGCCGCTGCATTGATTTTCAAGCCCGACGATGGCATATCCTTTGTATGACCATCAGGAATGGAGAATAGAATAACTGGTGATGCAACATTCGAATATGCACTAGGTGGGGCATAAGCGTTATCAACCTTGAAGAAACCGCGACGTTGTAGCTGAATAATATCACCCTTCTTACATTTCTTCAGTTCAGGATCGCCCAACATAAGTTGTTCTTCGCGTGTCTTGTGACCAATAAATTGCTTGAAATCTTCATCTTTGCCCAAGACAGCTTTGCTTATAATATGATCAAAATAAACACAATACGTTGGAGGATAAGCATCAGCGCTATCCTCAACGGCCAGCCATGTAAGTTTTAATGTTTTCTTGAAATCTTTATTCTCGAGATTCAAAGCAGCGTCAATGCTGGTAATTTTACCCGATGCATTTTTGTTGATTTTATTAATCATCAGATTACCCCAATTGATAAACGTGGCATTTTCACCAGCCTTCAAAGCTTCAGCATCGGCGTAATCGATGTAAATTTGTGGTCCCAAGGTGACAGTTTTCTTACCCAAAGATTCGTTTTTGGGATGTACAGAAACTTCAATTTTTTCTTTCTTGGCGCCGGCTACATTAACGATGACACGATTCTCATATTCCAAGGCAGTGTAACGTGGGGCAATGGGATCAATGACTTTCTTGTTGAATGCCCAAATTTTATCCCAATTCATGAACACTACTGATTTACTGGAGCCCTGGGCAATAATGAATTCCTTCAAACCTTCAACAGTCATGCCACGTCTAACAATGCCACGAACAGTGGGGAAACGAGGATCATCCCTAAAATAGAAAAGGAAAATATGTGAAATTCATAATTTATGGTACAGTAAGTGAAAAACAGTACCATCCATCAACCAAACCTGATTCCACGAACCAGGTCAGTTTACGTTTCGACAATACTGTGTTGGTCATATTCAAACGACTGTATTCCCAAATATAAGGTTTGCGCAATTTCAAAGCATCAATGAACCAATAGAATTGATCGTCACGATCATGATACTCCATTGTACGCAGAGTGTGTGTAACATTTTCAATAGCATCGACAATTGGACAAGCAAAATCATATGTTGGATAAACTCTGAAAAATAAAAATCGGTTAAAATCAAATATTCCAATAGTACGAGTAAAACTTACTTGTATTTGGTTCCAGTTCTAGGATGAGGTTCATTTTTGCATCTATAGATTGTGGGATCACGCATACAACCATTGGGCGATTGCATATCGATCTTGGCACGTACACAGCATTTTTGACCGTACTCGGTGCCATTCACCATTTCTTTCCACATGGCCATATTTTTGGCGGGATCTACAACAAAGTTTTAATAACAATGGACTTATATTAAAAATACTGTATCACACCTTACCATTTGAACGATTCTTTGACTCTGTTTTTTGATCACGTTCGGCCTTCATTTGCTCTGGTGGTGTATCGTCAACATACGCCTTGCCTTCATTGATAAGTTGCTCACAATATTGCAACATTAAATCGAAGTAGTTGGACGTATGTGTAAAGACATCTGGTTTGATGTTCAACAATTCCAAATCACCCAAAATAACATTTTCAAATTCAACAGTTTCCTTGGCAGGGTTGGTGTCATCAAAACGCATGATCAACTTGCCATCGAATGCTTGGGCATAGTATTGATTGAGTAGGGCAGCTTTAGCATGACCAATATGCAAATAGCCCGAAGCTTCTGGAGGGAAACGCACCACAACCTTTCCCATTTCAGCACCGGGTAAATCAACGAATTTTCCTTCTTGCTTACGTTCACCTGTCTTTCCCGCAACAGCTGGTGAAGATTCCTTTGAGTTGTTCTTGGGACGATTGACAAGTTTTGATGAAACTTTAGCCTCGTCCGGCAGGGATTGCAATACTTTCTGTATAAGAGGTTGAGCACTAATCAAATCATACCATCTTTGTACGTGCTGTGGCATGCCTTTTGCTGCTAAGACCTCGTAGCGGGAATGCATTTCATTGTATAAGGCAAAATCGGCAATTGTTAATTTATTGGCCACCAAGTATGTAACTGGGGCAATAGATTTGTCCAAAAATTCCATGGCCCATGAAATGTCATCTTCACAGGTCAATGAAAACGAAAGCCAATGATCGATTTGGGTACGTTCGATTGCAGTTTCACCGTACAACTTGTAGGCGGGAGCTGCTCTTGCCAAAGCACGCAAGACATCATTGTTGGAATAGCATACCAAACGCCGGCCATCCGGATACAGCAAAGCGGTCTCATTACCCCAAACAATTTCGACGGGTACCGTGTCATTAATCAGATGGGCAGTTGCCAAACCACCTAACAAAGGAAAAAAACAAATGTAAAACTCACGCTGCAGGCTGACGATTTAAAAATTGAAAGTGATGAAAATAAGTGAACCTCCTGCCAACATACATATCTGGCAGCAGCAAGCGATAATTTTAACCTAAAAATAGATTGACTTTTGTTGACCTCACTACTTACTTATTGGGGGATTGGCAACATTAGCTGTCAACTTTAGAGCCATATTTTAATTCACAAAATCCTGTAAATAGGTTTCAGAATAAGGATTTAGTAAAGAAAACCAATTTCTATTTATTCCAGAGTCCCACCTTCAGCACACACACACTCTTTTTGCAAATATGAAGAAACGACGTGTAGTCAGAGGGCGAAGCCGATGTGAAATTCTCGGCGGCGGCGGCTAAGCATAAAAAAGTCGGCGGCGGCTAAAAGTCGACTGCAGCCGAAAGAAAATCGGCGGCGGCGGCTAAAGCAATATACGGCCGGCGGCGGCTAAAAGTCGGCTACAGACGACGACTTTAACGTGAACAAATAATTTCGGTTGTTTTAATAACTGTCAATTCATTTAATTTAAAATAAAAATGAAATATATAGGTTTATATGCACATTTGTTGCTTATAGCACATTAAAAATTAATAAAAATACTTTAATTTGATAAAAATGGTTCGACGACTGCCTTGTTATCGTGAACAAACAATTGTTTCTTTACTGTTGCCGGATGCAGGCTGCTTCTCTTTGCATTTACACAATTCCCGGCATATGAAAATGCTTGCTCTGAAGATGCTGATGTGGCTGGAATTCCAAAGCACATATTTGCTACAGTAGCAACATTTGGAAAGATCTATAAAAAGTAAATGGTCAAAACGTAACCTGCTTAAAACAAGTTTAAGATGTGAATCTTTAACGTACTTGTTTGTTCTGTCGCCACCAATCTAGAGGCTCGACCGCCTCGACTTTCATTTCCAAATATTTTCTTATTTCTAACTCTACGTTATTTTGTACATTAGAAGGCGATGGTCCCATAAATTCCAACATTCTTTGACGACTAGCTGATATTTTCTGCAAGTAAAATATACGTCAGTTAAGTTTACCTTTACATTTATTAAAACATAATACCTGTTTTTTTGCATTTGGTTCAGTGCTCGTTGATGGCTCATTTAATAATGTGTCATCGATTTCCTTTAATTTTTCAATTTCTTCCATAATCAAGTTCTCCTTGGAAATTGGAGACAGAACATCATGCACAAGTTCCAAGGAGTTTGGCGATTGTTTGGGTATCTGTAGTATATATTTATCTAAAACAGGCCAGTTTTTTTGGCATGGGTCCATAAGCGCAGCTACAACATACATTCTATATACTTTGAATCGCTTCGTGAAGTTTTGCACAGCGAAATTGCATAAATTGATTGTTAGTTCAAAAGACGCTTTTTCTTCTTCTTTCTTCAATGAGGACATAATGGATTCCTGAAAATAAATACACGAAGATATCGTCGGATAATCTTGGCCTTGAAGGTGTTTTGTGGCGTCCTCAAAAATTTTTAAAAACGTGCCAAATTCCGTTATAATGAGCCATACAACCATATCTTGGTATATTTTTAATTTTTAAAGCTGAAACGATGTTGCTTCCACCATCAGTAACAGCACATATGTTTTTTTCCAACAGATTAAATTCACATAAAGCTTCTTCAATTTTTTCTACAACTGCTAGTCCAGTGTGAGGTCGTGGAAAGATCTCTGTCTTGAGCGTTACAATTTGCATTTGAAAATTTTGGCAGAAATGAACTTTTATGTTTATGTAAGACAAGTGCTTATGTTTATCTGACCACATATCCAATACAAGTGTAACATTTTTGGGCGACTCTTTAAGGCTTGTTTTTACGTGGTCCAAATATATGTTATAAACATCGTTTAAAGCCGTCGTAGCTATTGTCCTATCTGTGGGGAATATAGCCTTTGGGTTTAAGAAAGATACCAATTTCTTAAATCCTGGCCTTTCAACAATTTTAAACGGTTGCAAATCCCAACAGCACATTTCGGCGACCCGGCGAGCATTTTGTTGTTTGTTGTTACAACTTGTTGAGGATTTCAATGCATTTTGTGTCATTGTTGAACTTTTCAGGTTATTTAAAGATTTCACGTCCAAGTTATGTACAGCTCGTAGATGGTTCATATAATTTGTGGTTGATGTTGATTTTCCAAAACTAAAATCATAAACATTTACACACATGCGAATGGAAAAAATTAGAAATTCTTACCTTTTTAAATTGGTCTTTTCATCCAAACACAATTTGCAAAATTTATATTTTTGAAGTATATGCCTCTTTTTAAAATAGAGATCACCAAAATATTTCCAACACATTGATATACCACCTTCATTTACAACAACCTTTGCCAAATTTTTAAATTCATTTTTCTTTTTAAAAAGATCTTCATATTGAGATACATCTGCATATGGAGAAATATTGATTTCAGTATCAACAGATTCGTCAGAATCGGATTCTGATTTAGTCAAAACTGTTTGACCCTTTCGGTTAGCGGAAAAATAATTTTTAATATTCCTTTGGCACATTTTGCATTCTTTTCTTTGAACAAGCAAAAACACAACGAATCTTTGGCAAACAATATGGTTGCCACTCCATCAAAATTCGTAAGTTACAAAAGGTTGCCAAAGGTTTTGTGATAAAAAAACAAATCTACAAAGTCATAATACCCTTACCACTATGTGGTGTAGGGTATAATTAATATAAATAGCCTACACGTTTTTGCCTCTCGAAGACGAGTGCACAATGTAAATTATCGTCCAATAATGAGCATTATAATATGTTAATTTATCGATAAGATTAAAAGACATATTTATACAAATTTGCTGTATAAATTTATATTTTTCAACGGCTTAGCCGACTCAGTCGGCTAAAAATTTGAGCCGATGAGAGCCGCATACATCAGCGGCGGCTCAGATCACTTAAAAAAAGTCGGCGGCGGCTGCACGCCGACTGCGAGCCGATCGGCTTCGTGCTCTGCGTGTAGTGTGTCACCACCGCTCAAAAATAAGTATTTTTATGACATTTAAAGGTAGGGATGCCATGACATAAAACAAGGTAGTCAAAATCCCAATTGTTTATCGCCTCTTGGCGACACATCAAATTGTACATATTATTTGTATTGTTTGTACCAAAACTTGTAAAGGTAGAACAAAGCTACCTCCTAAATACAATTTTTACCTCTTGGCGCCCCTATTTTGTCAAAACATATACTCATTTTGTGTATTGTTTTGAGTTAAAAATACAATAATTTTTCAAAAAATTTTCAAATTCTTTTGCAAAATAATGCATATTTTCGATGAAAATGGGCAACAGGTTGTACAATTTTAGGATAAAACTGTATTGTCCAACAATTATAGACTCAATTTTGTGAAATAACCCCAATATTCCATTTTGGGATAAAACTGTATTGTCCAAAAATTATAGACTCAATTTTGTGAAATAACCCCAATATTCCATTCATATGGGGGCTTTCCCTAACATAAAAATTTTGTTTAAAAAATGTAAAACAAACAAATCCCATTGTTGCATATTTAAAAGTTTATTTGCCAATGTAAGACTCCGATACAGAGTTGTATTTTTCCTAATTTAAGATGTTGAGCAACCTTTCCGGTTGAGCCAAGCTGGTAAAATGAATGAGAAAACTACTTTGCGGAGAAAGTACAGGAAAGAAAAACTTACAACTGTCAAAATTATATTACAATCCTTAATAATCAACAATACAACTAATCAGAAACTAGTAAATATGACAATATTTTCGACATTGCCAAACTAACTTAAACGCCCCACAAAACGACACCTAAATTACGCGTTTTACTATGATTCTCGTTTATTTGGCAGATAAATTAAAGAATTGTCAATCTATAAATATATTCGGGTTTAATAAGGCTTTAGAACTATGTAGTGATGGAACCATGAATTAAGAAGGTGAAGTCATGAATTATATGTTTACATTTTTTTCAAAATTATTCATTTGACAACATCCCATTGTCAAAATGTATACTTATAGTTGGTTGATTGTACAGTAAGATTGATAGTGAATAGGGACTTTAGACATGTTCAATGAATATTTAACTAGTTTTCAACAAAGTTCTATACTCACCCCTTGGCAATACTACTTAAATTAATGTTACGAAAAAATGTGGCAACGTTTTTTATTTAAATCATGACACAAATGACAGGTGTGTGTCTCAATGCGTATGTTCAGTGCATAGATACACTCATTCATTGCAATATATTTTTCTTACTGTGTTTTACAGAAAAGAATTTTATTTCAATGATTTTAACAACAAATTAAAAACAATTTTATAAATTTATCATCAGAAACTGCAGAACTAAGCAAATAAATTTGTAAAAATGGTAAGAACTGTGCCAATACACACTGAATACGACAGATTTAATGGTGCTAGCAAAAATGATGACGCGCCCCAAATTTCCCAATTATTTTTACTTTGGGGGCCTATTGCAATATTTATGTGTATTCTATAAAACTAATAAAGAAATATATTTTCAGATGCTTTTTATGCTATTGTTTAGCCGTCAAGGCAAGCTACGTTTACAAAAATGGTACAATGCCTATCCGGATAAGGTTAAGAAGAAGATAACCCGGGAATTGGTAACAACAATTTTGGCCCGTAAACCCAAAATGTGTTCCTTTCTGGAGTGGAAAGATTGCAAAATTGTTTACAAACGGTAAAAACGAAAAGATTAAGTAAAAAATGTACTGTGAATATAACTGGTAAATAATGTCTTTGCAGCTATGCCAGTTTATATTTTTGCTGTGCAATTGAACAGAATGACAATGAACTGTTAACCCTAGAAATTATACACCGCTATGTGGAGTTGTTGGATAAATATTTTGGCAGCGTAAGTATTTCTGTCAATGGTTAGAAAATATTTTTTTTTTGTATGAAGCGTTAAGTGATACGATTCTTAACGAAAGGTAGTACTAGTCTTATCAGTATCATTATAAGACACTGCTGTCTGAAAGAAAGATAAAGATATGTTTGATGTCCGATACGTATCTCTCAGTATGTGACCCCATTTTCTCCCAACTTGTGAACCTCGGAAATATTATATTTGAGGCATATTGATACCCCGCCATTTTGTATCGAATACTTTGTATTCCTTGTTTTAAATTCAGCAATTGATATTGAATATTTTATATTCATTTTTTCCATTTCTTTCCAACTGTGAAAACTCAAAAATATTGGAATAATTATACAAACATGACTATGCTTATAATCTATATTAAGGGTATGTTTCTGTTTGAAAAGTTGTTTTTTTAGTTCCATATTTCGTAGTTCGTATACCAAGTTTGCCATTATATAATTGGTATATTTTAAACAGCATTATAAATATTATAAACATTGCCTTATTGCCGCAAAATATAAAATGTAATTATTCTATGGGACCTAGGCAATGGGAATAAAAAAGTCAATCTTGTGGAAGGCAAATTTCTTTAAAAAAAAAAAACAAAATTTCACGAACAGTTGCTTTTTTTGTGTTGCTCCTGCATTTAGTATACAGGGTGAGATGAAAAAACTGAAACCAATTTTAGACTGCTGTCATTTCTAAGCCACTCGTCAGACAGCTTTTAATTTTTTCCAGTGATTGCTCATTATATTGTTTACAAGCGTACAAAAGCATTTTGGTGAGAATTTTTCAGAAAAAAGTTGTTCGTGGTGGAATTTAAGCGTGATAGTGTGATTTCTTAATATTTGGCTGGAGAACCACAAGTGGCTATCGTTAGAGCACTCCAGTTTTTAAATGTGAATAAATCTTTTGTGTCTCGTACCATCGCTCATTACCGTGATAATGTTAGTGTAGTCTGACGTCAAGGAAGTGGACGGAAGAAAACAACAACATCTGCAGAAATGGTTCGAAAAGTAAAGAAGCGACTTGATCGAAATCCGCGTCGCAGTGGCCGAAAAATGGCTCGTGAGCTGAACAAATTGCAATATTCCATTCGGCAAATATTGAAAAATGAGCCGAGCTCATAAAAGGTAAAGCCATTGAAATTCCAAAAAGTGCAAAAACTTACACCGCAACATAAAGAAAATAGACTCAACGAGCTAAAGAGTTGCTTCGCTTGGCCGAAAGTGGTGAACTGCCGAATTTGTTTTCTCCGATGAAAAAACATTCGTTGGCCAGCAGTTTGTAAACTAACAAAATGATCGTATTTACTTGCCAAAGAGGTCAGCTGAAAATGTGCACCTTCGGTTGGCCACCAGTACTCAAGCGCCGGTATGGGCCGCCAAAACAGCCGATGGTCGCTCTCCGTGTATTAATCGACCGTGGCATCAGAACAAATGCAGAATATTATCGCAAAAATATTCTGGAAGGTGTATTAAAGCCTTGAGCACGCAAACATTTTGGCCGCAGACCTTGGACATTCCAACAGGACTCAGCACCATCGCATACAGCACACGCCACCCAAGAATGGTTACAAAATGAGGTTCCTCGCGCACAATGGCCCCCAAAATCTCCAGATACCAGTTCGTTGGACTATTGTGTGTGGTTGGCACTAAAAAATACCAAAGTATCGATCACCTCAAGCAAGCGCTTCGCCAGGAATGGGCCAAAATACCACAGAGCAACATTCGGGCATCGTGTGACGGTTTCATTGGCGGTTTGAAGGCCATAATTTGTGCCAAAGCTGACCAATTCGAACAAATCAAAACATATTCTAAAATTTGATGCTATTTCCGAAATTCCCATATTTCCTTTTACTCAAAAAAAATTTAAAAAAAAATTGAAAATTATTTCGTTTGACTTTGTGACAGTGATTTTATCTAACCCTGTATATTTTCTGTACAATTCAGAATTTAAATGATTTCCTATTGTTATCTTTAATCATATCAACTTTTTACGTTTAATTTTTTGCAGGTCTGTGAATTGGATATAATTTTCAATTTTGAAAAGGCATATTTCATACTAGACGAACTATTAATTGGCGGTGAAATACAAGAGACATCCAAGAAGAATGTCTTAAAAGCGATTGCATCTCAGGATCTTTTGCAAGAGGTTAGTACGCCTGAAATATATGATTTATAAAGCAATGCTAATGCATAAAAAAAAACATCTGTAAAGCGCTAACGCAAACGCATCCTATTGTTTTATTGATAACTAGTTAATTAGTCTAAAATTTGTTTATTTTTTCGTTTCTTTTGAATGCATCCAATGCTGAGTTCATCGTTGTTTACTTTTTGTTTTTTTCGTTTTCAAGTTTTAAATTTAAAATGGTTTTTAATCACAATATAATAATTTCTATTTCTTTTATTTTACACAAAAAAAAAAAAAATACGAAAAACAAAATCAATAATGTGGATTCAAAAAATAACTTTATTTTAAATTTATTCCAAAAAAAAAACAACTTACAAAAGAAAGAGGAATTCTTTTATTCTTTACAGTAATTTTGATTTTATTTTTGCTAAATTTTTAAATTTTACAATTATTTACATTATTCCTATTAAAAATTGTACATATGTATGTACTTATGTGCATGATTTTGACTAAAATTTATTAATGCCTACAGCCAAGCTCTCTAGGGATGTATAAAACTTTACACTATATGGTAAACGATGTGCCTCCCCCAAAACTTATATTAAAAACAATTGGGCAATATTTTGGCAAAATTATATGTATAGAAAATATTTGTAATGTGTGTGATAAAGCTTTAAAAGTGCTTTTAATTACTTGGCTATCATGACATTTAAAGATATGATACATTTGAAGCCATTTGCATGTGGAATGAGCCCACGTTAAAGTCCATCACCTATACAATTTTTATTTAACACTTTTTGCATCAGCTGACACCGTTATGGGGAATTAAGATTTGAGATCATGCATCAATTGACAACTGAAGTCAGCTTTCTCCATACACATTACAAACCATAAAATAAATTTAATATTTCTTCCAACAATTTTAAATGCCGCAAATAATCTTGTCAAATTCCTTGTTATATTACTTATAACTTGCCATAGAAAATTTTCAAAAAATGTATAATCAAAACCAAATGCCGTCCCGAAACAGTATCCTAAATATCCTTCCAACGAAAATTAATATATTTACAAAATCTAACTTATTTATAAAATCAAATATCTATAGTACAATACAGAAGTAGAGCTGTGTGTTTTTGTAGACTTTATGTTATCTTAAGATTTATTTTATTTTTCTGTAAGTTTTGCATGATGTCGTTTGTTGTTTTTGTTTCTGTTTTTTAGTACTACCTCTTCTTAGCCTGAGTTTTAGGATTAGTATAGTAAATTATTTGGATTGTTAGAGTCGCAAATTGAATCACATAGTGTGTTATTGTGTGCATGTTACAGTTTTCTTTCGAGATGCTATTGCGTCTCAAGCAATTACCCAGTCACCCGCAATCTGTACTAATAAGTAGTAATACCGAAATAAAGACTTTGCCAACTGTATGCCATAGTTTTGTAATAAAATCAATTTAACAAAATATTTTTTTTCATAACAATAACTTTTGTGTGATATTAATCATAAACTCTTAACCCTTCCTTTTCCCTGTTTTCTCACGTCAATGCTTACCACCATCCAAAAATATTAATCAATTAATAAATATAAAAAATAACACTATTACCAACAAACCAACCAATCAACCAATAATCATCACTACCTCCAACCTATCATTTACCAACCACTGCCAACAAAACAAAAAATCTCCTGATGTGATGTTTGTTGTGTGTTGTTTGTTGTAACCAATGCTCTACTCTGTGCATACGTTTTGTGTCAATATAATAACTACTACTACAACTACTACCATCACCACAACCACCACTACTACCTCCTTCACATCATCAGGACTTCAATGAATATTTAAATTAAATTCAATTGTTTTCCTTTATTTAGTATAGTATGTATGTGTATAGTTTGAAGTTTTTTATTATATTATTCAAAAAAAAAAAAAACTTCAAAGAACCTAAAAAAGAAAATCGTCCTAGTTTTAGTGGAATTTTTTGTATATTTATGTACGTATGACTATAGAGTGTATTTATAAAAATTAAAATTAATTAATTGCTACAAAATAGAAATATATATTTTAAAACATTATTTATGTTCAGTTGTATGCGTCTATAGTTGGGTCAAGTAGTAAGGTTTAGCTTTATTGGCCGTAAATAAAACTTGAGATAAAACTAGCATACATTCCTCGAAATAAAATAGATTTGAAAGGAAGGATAGAAATATTTATTTAATGTTGTTAATAATTACATACGCCCTATAACACTTCATTAAAATATTTAAAAGTCGGAATTCATAAATAGATAGCTTGAAAAGTTTACGGTGCTGATGTGATGGGGAAAAGCATTGTCACATAAACTAAGAATTTTTCTTGAAATGTAAATTTGTGGGCTTCCTATTTTTCGGTATAAAAACATACATAGCTGTTTATTTAGCCTTCGCCCTATTGAAAATAAAAATCCCGAAATATAGAAATTTTCGCTTTGACATTTTGCAAAGAATTTGTGTGCAAATCAATATGACTAAAATCGAGATATTTTTTTTTTTCAAAATTGCATCTCCTAAAAGGAAATCACTTTCCATCAATTCTTATAATGTTCATCATGGAAAGGAGGTTATATTAAATTCATACCATTTGTAGGAACTCCACGTATTTGTCAGAGATCCCGTCAAATATCTATATTCGTGTTCAGCAAATGTTTTTAGAACATTTTGTTTGAAAATTTCTTTTTTTCGGTTGGTTTGAGGTTTAGAATTCGTTTTAGATCCACGGATCCTATGGCCCGTACATAAGGGTACCTAGTAATATTCGGCATTTTCTAACGACAGATTTTCAAATATGATATTTGATGTTCGCAATAGATATCAATCACCATGGCAAATAACTGCCTATATAAACTTTCGTTTTCCTATAGACCCTAACATAACCGTACCTCCTATCATTCAGTATTCTGATTATACTAGCCACATTTTTTAACGAAATTGTTTGAAATGTGTATCTTGTAATGGGTTCTACCTTCGGAGCAGTCTACATATAGATCCGTTTTGCTATAGCCACCATATAACGCTACCCTCAATAATTGACATTTTTACGATTAAAGACACATTTTCTAATGGAACTGTTTCGAATTCAGTATTTTGAGTTCGCAATGGATTCTCTCAGAATATTGTCTATATTGGTTTGCTGATATCAGCTATCAAACCCTGTAGAAAAAATATCTAGGCGGGCTCCCGGCATTCCCCACCCGTTTCCATTAAATTTGTAGTTAATAATGGAACTAGATCGAATATTGAATCCATATAATACTATTTATAAATGTTTTCTTTACCTCACCCTGGAGCCACGTGGCAGTTTTTAAACTAGTGATCGTGGGGAGTCTTTTATTCGATTCGAGTTATAAGATTATGACTTCATCTATTTTCTATCTGTAATGTCAAAAACTGCGAGAATGGCATTCATACTGTAGTTGCTGATGGCATCAGTATAAATTTGAATTAGACACGGCTGATAGGCTCCTTGATCCATAGGGTATCTCGTATATCGTTGGACCTTCCTTTCTAATAGGCCTGGGTGGGGAGTTTTCTCACTATACGATTTTTTGGATGACTTCCATAATAGCACCCAATCAAGTGATGCAACGAAAGCATATTGTTATCCTGACGTACGGGAAGGACATTCGCCTCCTTATTTAGATGGTCCACAACTGTCATGGGACACCCTGTCCCTGTTTTCAGGGCAGCATTCTGTCAAATCATGATATTTTTCCAGAATTTGTGTTATTGTACAATATATATACTTGATTATATATATTGTCGGGTTGGGTTTGTTTTGATTAATTTTCTAGATGTTAGGCTGATACTCGAAGTTGAAAGCTCTGAATTCTTGTATTGCTTCTACAATTACTTGGATTCTTTATTCGTTACAATATGAAGATCTTTTCTAAAGTGTCCATAGGAGATAGTTTGGATGCTGGTTGTATAACACCGACGTAGCCGGGCGGAGGCTGACACGTTTAAGAATTTCTAGATATCTAACGAAATTTCTAACAGCAGCAATTAGGCGAGGATCACTTTATTCTTGTAGGAATGGTAGTTTTTACCGGATCAACAAGTATGATTTCTAGAAATTGTGGAAAGTATTTATATATTCTGTTCCATCAATTTAGAACCTAGTTTTTATATTTAAGAAATCTAGATATTTAATGAAATTTCCAACGACAGTGATTAGCTGAGGATCACATTATTCTTGTTAGAAGGACACATTTGCGCATACACAATAATATTTTATGTCTAAACTCACAAGCTATGTTTGGTGTATAGTATCGTTTAACTAAAAACTAATAATTTAGAGACAAAAGTAAGCTCAAAGTAAGTACTACGAATAACATCAAAACCTATGTTTATTGTTAACAAACAAAAATTTATTGTATAAACAAATAAATACGTAACAATAACTAGATTTAGTGTGAAAGACAATCATTTTCTTCCCAATGTTGTAATATTTTTCGCAAATCAATGTTGTTTCCAGCGAAACAAGGCTGTAAATAATCTAAGAAGCAGTTCCATAGACAGAGATCAAGCTTTAATTGTAAATGTAAAAAGAAAATAACGAAAATGTATTAATTTTATATTTTTTTTTTGTAATGAAATTTTTCAATTTCATAATTTCTCCTCTAACTGTAAATTCATTTTAAATAAATTAATTTGTAGCAAACACACATTTTTCCCTCCTATGAAAATTGCACCAATTGTTATCCTCCCATACGATTTTTTCTAGTTTTCTTTTAAAAATTAAGAAAGAAAACAAAAAAAAAAATATATTTCAGAAAAAAGATGTTGTTAAATACTGTAATTTTACTATTGTTGTATTTCTCTTCTTCCTTCCTCGATATTCCTTTTTGTCGTGTTTGTTTTAGTAACACTTGTTGTCATTATGTGTAACATGATTTAGTACGTAACGGCTGTTTTCTAGCTAGCTAAACACTTTCTTTACATTATTGTTATTATTTTTACTATTCTCTTCCTTCTCTAACTTTCATTC